CTACTAGTAAGGCACTTGTTCCTAGTAGCGTGGCACTTGTTACTACTTCCCAATTGGCCTGCCGTAGAGGCAAGGTGGGGGGGCTTTGCAGCGGACTTTACTGCCCGTGGTTTCTGCAGTGATGCACGAGCAGTGCTGGAAGCGCTATCCTCCGGACCTGTTGTGTGATCCTCCAAAGTCGTAAAGTCATCTGGGTCCGGATCAACGCTCGTGCGTATCGTGTTGTTTGGTTGTACACGAAGGACAGTCACTAAGGTGGCCGCCTTCCTCGTCCAGACTATCACTGTTCTTGTTCTCTTTACCCGCAGCGCTTTCATTTCCATCTAGCTCATCCACATCCTCTGCCACCGAGAAGACAGCGATCGCTGAACTTTCTTCGGGCATCTGAGGACTAGATTCAACTGTTGCGCTGCTGACCGCGACAGGCGTCTCAGACTCAGATGCCTCCGTGGCACCATCCACGTCCGTGGCTTCAGCATTCTCATGGTCACCTGTTTGCGTTGCTGTGTCTTGATCATCTTCCGAGGTGACTTCGATGGGAGAGCTGCTGTCATGCGTGGGCCAGTAACACCCTCACGAAGAAGGCCTGCTTGTGGTGGGAGACGCAAGTCTGATCCTTCAGCATCGAGGATGGGCTTGCTTCGTCAAGCATCATAAAAATAGATTTTGTGCAGTGTTTCAAACTGATAATCCTTTGACCTTTTGTTGGTTGAAGCCCCCTCTGTGCAGGCGGATAGCGGTCGGTGCAGCCAACGCTAAAACGCTCTCCAGCCTTTTCTCCATTGTGTAGTAGCCTCCAGGCATCTGAGTCGCTCTTGTCCGGCATAAACAGCCAGTCAGGGATTGTATGAACGTGTGGCGCACAGCAAAAAGGAGACCGCTGTCAATGATGCGACCGCAATTAGGCATATATGCTTTTGCGGCTTGATACAAGAGAGATTGGCTGGCAAGGACAAGACGTAAGCGCCTCGCCTTTCCGCCGTGGTGTTCAACCAAATGCAGCAGTGGACTCGCTGACGGGACCGCGGTGTCAAACCGACCCATAATTGGCGGAGTTGGTCCGATTCCGGTTTGGAAGGCGCATACTCCATGCAGCAGCGCAGCAATGACTTGCAGGGCACCCGGGATGCCTTGCATGTTGACCGGGCAGGCCAATACTGTGAGGTCAGTGGCCCTGCTATACGCCACGTTTGCGCGGGTGAAACACTCCGAGTCAAAGTCCTCGTTGTGCCTACTTCCGCTGAGGAAATTTGTACGCCCATGGAGAACTATGCAGCGCCGTGCTGTGGCCCCAGCGACTTTGACTGCAGTTTCAGCATTGGCCTTTTTGCCGTTGGAGTGAAAGTAGTTTTGCAGGGCAACGGCGCTATTGCGAGCGGTAGTGAGAACAAGTGTGGTGTCGCCGTCACCATCACTCCGGTTTAGCCATTGCTCGATGTAGCTGTAGGTTAGGATGGTTGGTCGCGGTGGCGGATCTTTGCGGGAAGCGTCATCATTTGAGTAGTGCTGCCAGTTTACAAAGCGTAGGCCAGTTGTCGCTCGAGAGTTAGCCCGAATTGATGTTGTTCCAATGTGCCACTGTCCCTGGCGGTGGCTGCGCAGCATAGGATATTGTATGCCTAATTATGAGTGGCTCATAAATCTCCTGAGAGTCTCTTGCACTGGTTGGGAGCATTACACTCCACTGGTGAATTCCGGAGACACCCGAGCGTTCGGCCGCACTGAGCGCCTGGTGAAACAGGAATGAGCTGTCCGGTCCAGTGATCGCGTAGCCAAGACCTACGAGGAGGCCCTCCAGCACAGCCATGTTGATTCTTTTTGAGATTTGCATTGGCGGCTTGAGGCTTCTGCTCAATGCTGATGTGGCAGGGCACTCTTCTGGGGTTTTCCAGCGTTTCCCTAATGGACGATTGCAAATGGCCTGGGCATCATGTTGGACTTTCCCTTGAGGAGTGTACGGTGTTCCCTCTGGTCATCCGCCACACCGCCAGGACTCTGCTTAGGGTCTCCCAAAATGGCACGAAAAAAGGGCTGACGAGGGGCCGCAGGTGTGAATGCGGTTTTGAGGTCATATCCTGCTGCGCTTCTTCATTGACCATAATGCCATAATTTCTACGTTCTCCATATGAGTTCGTAGTGGGGAGTGCGGCTGTCCTTTCTGCTCCCACACAAGGCCGGTGGTGGAAATGACTTTGGCTTGAGGAATGGCGTGGGTGCTGTCGTGGGTAGCAAGGTCAAAGGCTGTTTTGGCAGCGTTGGCCTCTGCTTCTTCTCGTCCCACTGGGCGCGCAAAGTGACGCGCGTGTGCTTCGTCCAGTTCAGGGAATGCGGCGTCGCTAGGCGGCGTCAGGCGGGGAGGCGGCGTCAGTGGGAAAAGGAGCGTCAGAGAATGCGGCGCCAACGAGTTCCCAACACGGCGTCAATAAACGGAGGCAGCGTCAGGCGCAAAAGTGCCCCCACATGGGCGGCCACCCTGTGCTTTTGTTTTTTTTTTGATTGCTTTTGTTTTTTCCGACTCTTTTGTTTTGCTGTTTTTTCTTTTGCTGCTGTTCTGCTTTTGCTGCGTTTTTGGCATTGCTTTTGCTTTAACTTTTACTGACTTTCTGCCTTTGCTGCTTGTTTGCTTTGTTGTTTTTTTGCTTTTGGTGTTTACCTTTGTTTTTGCTGTTTTTTGGAATCGGTTCGTTTTTTTGTTGCTTTGGTCGCTGATGCTGTTTGGTCTACTGTGCTGCACTTGTTGCTGTTCGATCGGCATTACTGTGCAACTTGCACACACGCGTGTTTCATATATATTCTACTGCTACACAAACACATTCGACGGAGAAGCTTTAATACTCTTTGCGCATGTGTATGTCATGGTCGTTTTGCGGTGCTTGTGGGAAACACATTGAAGTAAAGCGCTGCTTACATGTGGTGCTTACAAGATGCATTAAGCCAAAAATTTGGTGAGAGCGAGGAGCCAAGCAGATCTTTTGCTAGCCACCCGAGGTTAAGATTTAGAGGAGGAAGGGGTCATTCCAAGGTAGCAGACCTTTTGTGAACCATGTGAGGGTAGAATTTAGAGGAGGTAGGAGCCATTCCAACACAGCCGCCCATTTGTGAGCCACGCCATGGTGGCATTTGAAGAGTTGGGTTTTCTTTTGGGGTAGCAAACCTTTTGCGAGACACCCGACGAAAAATTTAGAGGAGGAAGGTGCAATTCCATAGCTGACCTTTTGTGAGCCACCTTAGGGCAACATGTAGAGGAGGCAGAGGCCATTCCAAGGTAGCAGACCTCTTGTAAAATTTAGAGGAGGAAGGTGCCATTCCAACGTAGCAACATGCCTGTGTGTGCAAGTGAGTCGCAGCGTGGGCAATTGGTTCATGCATGCTGTAGTGAGTTAACTTTTGCGCGCCCAAGTGATGTTTTCGACATGGCCTCTTCATAACCAAGTAGGTGGGAGCGCGCTGCCGACATCACTTGTGCGCAAGTGAGGTGAGTTTTGTTCGCAAGCCCAACAAACACCTTGAGAGAAACACAAAGCCATGACACCAGCAGCCGCGCACAGAAACATCCAAGTACACGCCCTTCCCCCTCCTTCGCCACGAAAACAGCGTTTTTTAGACGTCGACCACCCCCCACTGCAGCGGACACCGTTGCAAAATCTGCACGACTTCTTCCGCCAATGTACTTTGCTTGCTACGACAGCTGTTTCTCTTAAGTGTCAACCCCGCTGTCAACCCCGCTGCCGAAACTGTTTCTGTTTCAAGCTCAGCCACTCACTCCACCTTGTGTCCGCAGTGCGTTTCCTCTAAAGGACACTAGGTTGCCGTACATAGCAGCGAATTGTGACCCCAGGGTTTTGAAAAAATCCGAAAACATAATTAGATCCCGAATTAACAGTGCACCCCTTGAAAGGAGGTGCATTTTTTAAGGGATTGAATCTGATGCGTGCAGCTTGTTCACTCTTCTTTAGATTATGCAGATGTTGTCATAACTCTTCCTTACATTAGTGGCCCTGTCATGCTGCTATGAGAGCAAAGCAACGGAAAGGCAAGTGATGTGTAATTATCAATATTTCAATATGCCGTTCATATGTTTATGCCTTCAACACGCTTGTTAGAAAGCTGCTGACCAGAAAACCACCCTGACAGGCTGGGTCATTTTGCTTAAGGGCTTTCACTGAACAAAGCATGAGATGCGCCGGGGGAAGGATACGAAGAACCAGCGAAGAAATATGAAGAAACATGAACACGATGCTGTTTGTGAGAGTTTGCTTTACAACATCGACCGGCGCTCCCTCTTTGTAAGCTTCTCAAGCCTGCTTCTGGCTAAGAATCGAGCAAGAGACAAACTAAAACCATCACGCAGGTTTCAGTGTCACAGTTTCCAGCAAAATATGAAACCGTTTGAAAGCAAACATGATAAACCATTGCATGTTTTTTTGGATTTTCAGAAACCGTTTGAGCATGTTCAGAAGCCTCTCATGCCTGTTTGTTCAAGTTGTTTTTTCTTAGACATGCGAAGTGGCCAGTGTGATGGGCACTGCGGCATCGACAAAGGCTAAACGAAGCAAACAGCAGGGCCCAGGGCGGCTGGGCATGAATTAGACCTTTCTTCTTTTTCTAGCAGCAATGGCCTCCAACCTCCTAGCAATGGCCTCCAACCTGCCAGCAATGGCCTCCAACCTATACTAGCAATGGTACCAGCGATGGCCTCCAACCTAGAAGCTATGGCCTCCAACCTGAGGCGGCTGGGCATTACAATCCAACAGTTGGAGGAGGTGGAGAAGGAGGTTCAGAAACGCTACAAGAACGAATGCTGGTCTCAGGCGCACACACACATTGAAGTGTTTGTTGAGTTTGTTTTGTATTATTTGTGCAACAGTCATGAAGCCTTGGATTCATGACAGGTGGTCGACTCCAAGCCTAGTGTGCAGCAAGTCGTGAAGAATTTTATCCAGCCTCAGACCAAAGTGGCGAAGTGCAGCTATGTGGTGCTGAAGTTTGACCAAACAGCAAGTCCACCTCGATGGTTTTCCTGTCATCCTTGGTCCATCAGCCACAATTCTCTTGTGTTGGGCCTGCGCCATTTGGTTGGAAGACGCCATGAGAGCGAATCCACATCCTTTTGGCTTGCGGCCTACTGCTTGCATCAGAGTGACGACGTTCACCATTCTCCTCATGTGATTCTGCCGGCCGTTCTTGGGGCCAGGCAATTGCAAGGGATCATCGTACATGTTGATTCGCATCGGGAGGTGTGGAAGCGGACGTGGTGCCTGAGTGAGATGTTGGCAGCTTTCAGCCTTGAAGAGTCTGACTTGAAGTTGACTTTCGTTGCGTTGGATGAGAGCGGATGTGCCGTCTCACTCTCAGATCATTTGATGGGTACCGAGTTGGAAAGTGATCGACGATCAGCTGAGACGAAGTTTCCACTGAGCTGTTTGGAGCCACATGAAGAGATCAAGATCCATAAAAGTTGTGCCACCCGAGAAGAAGACCAAGAGGCACTGTTGCAGCTGATCATTTGCAAGGGTGAAAGGCCGCCATCTTTGCCTCGAAGTCCAAAACAGTGCCAAGCCTACGAGGAGGCAAACACACTCTTACGAATGAAGATTGAAGCTGCCGCAATGCGAGTTGCAGTTCTTGTGGAGGATCGCAAGACTCAGGACTTGCTTTTAGGGCGGGCCAATGATGAGCTCCGAGCAGCACTGAAAAAGTCCCGGGAAGATATTGAAATGCCAGGCTTTGGAATTCCTGACAGGAATGTTCCAGAGCCACGTGGGAAGCCACCAGAAGTTTCACTTTCACAAGTCTCAGAGCTTCAGGCGACTGAGCTCTCAGAGTTTTGGACTGGTTCTGATTGCAAGAGCTCCAAGCAATTGGGAGCGGGCTTGGAATATTTGATGAACGAATTTCCTGTGCAGGCCAGGCGCGCCGCCCGAGAAGACAACCCAACCTTTCATCAGCTAAGTGAGCCCTTGGCTAAAGGGGAAACAGGCTTAGGATACAACCGGACTTGCCCACGGGATGGAAGGCTTCATTGCAGCATTGTTGATGCATTGAGTGCAAGGGATGCAAAAAGAGCTTCTCTTTTCTTGTCTTGGTGCTGGGGCTACCGGCTGCAGATGTATTTGGACACTTGGAAAGAATGGCGGCAGCGTAATCCAGACAGTGAGGCTTTTGTGTGGCAATGTTTCTTTTGCAACAACCAGTACCGGCTTGAAGAAGCCAAGCAAGCCAAGAATGGTGGGAAAGTGGCCGATGAAAGCTTGGGAGACATTTTTCAGGGTCGCTTGTTGGAGATAGGACAGATGGTGGTCATGCTCGACAACTTTGACCAGCCCAAGTACTTGGAACGCATTTGGTGTGTTTACGACGCTGGGCAATTCTTGATGAGTCGTGATGCTCGCATAAGATGTTCCAAGCTTTGCAAGCCAAGAGTGCCCCGCATGTTCACTAAGGAGATGTACACTGCCGCCCTGCACCCTGGCAAGGTGAAGGTAGAGATTATATTGCCACCTGACCAAGCCGCCCGTATCAAGAGGAAGCTCAAAGGGCGTGAGTGGGAAGAGATAAAGAGCAAGCTGAAAGAGGCAAGTCTTGCAGAGCTGCAACTGCGTATGGTATTAGATCACACATCAAACACATACACACATATAGCATATTATATCATTCATTATTTATTAATGACTCTATTCTCATACCATCACATCACTTTGCAGGCGTCTTGAGCTGGAGAGAACGAAGTGATTTTGTTATAGAACAGAGTTCTGTGAAGGGTTCACGTGGGGTCGGGGGGAAGTGATATATATATATTTCCATGCTGAGTGTTTCCCAAAACTTCCAAAAGATTGTTCTTGAAATTAGAAGGGGTTGGGGCCTTGATAGTTTTTTGAAAGTAGATCGTACAAATTTTGATTTTGTGGGGCAGCTTCGAGATCCCCATAGCTTTGCCAAAGAACACGTTCGAAATAGTGTGAAATTCACATTGGTGAAACTGCTTGTTTGCTCGGCCCTTTCAGGTTGAACCTGTTTCCTTAGAATCAAAAGTGACAAATATCATCGATGGTGCCTACGTTGCGCGCCTGATCATGGGTCGAATGGACTCTATTGTCCTCTACCCATTCCTATTAGGTTGGCCATCGCTAGTAGGTTGGAGGCCATCGCTATTCGGTTGGAGGCCATTGCTAGTAGGTTGGAGGCCATCGCTAGTGGGTTGGAGTCCAATGCTAGTAGGTTGGAGGCCATCACTATTAGGTTGGATGCCATTGCTAGTATTGGAGGCCATCGGAGGTTGAATGCCATGGCTAGTAGGTTGAAGGCCATCGCTAGTGATTGCTTGTAGGTTGGAGGCCATCGCAGGTTGAATGGCATGGCTAGTAGGTTGAAGCCCATTGCTAGCGATTGCTTGTAGGTTGGAGGCCATGTGCGTTTCCAATGCCAGGTTGTTGGAAGGGCTGCACTGAATCGTCAAATTTGTTGGGGTAGGCTAGGCCCCATAATAGTAAGGCCAGGAGCCCCGAACGTAGCGTCTGATCGCTCCTAGTAGTAAGGCCAGGAGCCCCGATCGTAGCCGTTTGAAAACGCCGTTGGTGCAACATGAAGAAACTTGGTGCGTAAAACGCTATGGTGCCTTGTACATCGAGTTGATGTTCGATCGGCTTGGGTGAAATTGCTGGGCCATGCTGGGCTGTTCGATCGGTTTGGCTTCGTTTCCGAAAGCCTTGAGAAGCGAAAATCAGAGCTGTGACTCCGTGGCATCTGAAAAGTCAATAGGAATCAGACTCAGATTTGTTCTCGGCTTTTGTTTTTGAGTTCGAATCGTTTCTTTATAATCTCATGTCATAGTCATAGTGTAATAGGAAGATGTAAGAGGATATGGAAGATGAGGAAGAGGGTTCCTGGGGAAAATCTGGATATGAAATACATGTCCAAAGATTCCAAACACGTTGCATCCGTCACAAACAAGCTGCATCCCACTTTGTGGCAGCTTTCGAACATGTTGGAGTCCTTGTTGTTAGCATGGCTACCCGGATTCGATCTCTTTTTGAGTGGGCTCAACCCCAGAACTGGCCATCATAACACGTGAGTCTATCCAGGAGCTTCCTTGTCAATTTGCTGTTGCAGGTTTCCAAAAGTTACCAAACGGAACACATAAGAGACCGACACTAGGGGCTCCTGGCATCGCTACGAACGGAGCAAGCGAACAAGCGCAATTTGTTTCCGATGAACGCGGAAGAGCGATGGATGTATGGTCAGGTGGATGTCGAGAAAGCCACGGCTCATGAGCCGGAAGATGAAAAGCTGGTCAAGGCCCATATCAATGAAGGAGCCGATCGCTCCGTTCGTAGCGATGCCCTTTGTTCCGTTCGTATAGCGTCCGATCGTTCCTGAATGAAGGAGTTGGCTTCAAAAAGGTGAATGAGAAAGTGCGCAAGACGATGATGGACTGGATTGGTCAGCAGATGACATCCATCTTGGGTGAAGACTGCGAAGACGAAGTCGAAGCTTTTGAGGTCGAGCGTGAGCGTGCTGAGAAGTCCAAGAGGTTGGGTGTGCGTTTGAGATATTTGTTGAAGGTCTTTCCTGGGCAAGCACAGCACGTGTCCAACCAAGAAAACCCAACGTTTCATGAACTAGGTAACTCCTTGGCTTGTGGTCCCTCTGGGTTGGGGTACAATCGATACTGCCCACGTGATGGAAAGCTTCATTGCAGCATTGTGGATGCCTTGTCTTTGGACGATGCGCAGAAGGCTTCTCATTATCTGTCTTGGTGCTGGGACTACTGTTTGCAAATGTACCTGGATAGCTGGGCTCAATGGCAACTGCAGAACCCTGATGATGAGGCTTTTGTGTGGCAAGACTTCTTTTGTAACAACCAGTACAGGCTTCTGGAAGCCTTCCACCTTCAACATCAAGAAGCAGACCGCTTGCTTCAGGACCGCTTGTTGGGCATAGGACAGATGGTGGTCATGCTCGACAACTTTGACCAGCCCAAGTA